GTATCTGACAGGACCAAATACTTCAGAGGAAGGCGCATGAAACCCTGCAGGAATTAGATGTAATATAATCTGTCCTCCACGGGAGACTCCTCTTAACATCTAGTAATTGGAGATTGGTTCATGCCCTGAACATGAACAGTTTTCTCTCTCTTCTAAAACTTTCTCTTGGTATTTACTAACATAACTTTAGATATTCCTATTATCTATATAAATGTCCAATGGCTTTTGGAATTTTGCTATGTTCTTGGTCTCAATGGCATCATGCAACAATGAGTTGGACCTATCACCCTGCCAATTAAGGATCACAATAAGGTGATTGGGGCTAGTCAAACAATTTCCCTCAAAACTTTTTTTCCATAGAAAATTGGGTTTTCATCCCAATGAAAATGTTTGCGGCAAACCTTGTCTTTCCTCAAAAGCTGTTCAGTTCCCCCTTGACGAAAACTGAAATCTTTTCGGTTTTCAAGTTTTTGAAACAATTGGAAGTTTTCTATAGAAACACAGCCCATTTCCTGACCAGCTTCCCTGTTGACTTCCACTGGGAAGGTTCTTGGGAGACCGAGGACAGTAGGGAGCTCACAGTAAGGCCCCTGCTCCAATTAGTTAGCTGGGGTGATTCTTCAAGATTTTGAACTGGTTGTGCACAATTGTTTCTGTTTAAGACTAACAGAAACAGTAGGCTCGGGACCCAAGGTAGAGAGGCCCATGATGGTTGTTGGGGGGGGGTCTTTACACACTTTGTTAAGAGCCTATCATAAATACAGCAACCCATGAAGAGGAAAAAAACTTTTTGGACCACCATTTCTATTGTCTCTCTGATACGGAAAAGTAAAGCCTGTGCTTAGCTATGCTACCTGCTTTAAATTCTAGTTTTTCCTGCAAAATCCTCATGGTACTTCTGGTTCACTGTTGATATCTGAAAAAAACAAAAAAACAAAACAGAAGTCTCATTGCAACTGATGGTATTGGTGATGTCATGGAATGAGGAATTTGGTGTTACTTCCAAGTTAACGAGGAAATACCAAGAGGTTTTCATAGAGGGATTTTAATTTATCAGTGGGTCACCAGAGAAGGATGTAAGAAAAGTAAGGAGTACTGGTTATGAGAGCAGGAGGGAGATGGGAAAGAGGAATCATGGACAGACGTTCATATTTTCATGTGTGTTATTACACTTTATGACCTTTGTTCTTTGAGACAAGTCTGCAAATTCTAACAGCTTTGAAGCACACTTGCAATGAACAAGTTTCAAGTGAGAGTTCATTAGTTGGACTATCCCTTACTTCAGAAAATAGTTGGTGTTTATATAGAAACACCTTATAACTACGCCTTACTTTTGGTGTCCAGAGAATTTGGTAAGTCTATTGGCAAGGAAAAAGGGTTCTGAAAAAATACTTGGGATTAGTTAGGAAGACCAGTCATTTTTCTCAACCCACTTAAACAACACTCAGGAAGCAACACTTCGGCATTGCTAACTGCATAAAAACATGTAGATATTTATATATGTTTATAAGATTAATAAATGCATTATAGTGAAGATAAAATGTCTGTGAGCTAAATCCTCCATTTGTTCCATTGGTCAACTCCATGGACTATAATGGAATTTTGCCTGTACTCCCTGTACTCCATTAGAGTCACCAGAGTTTTTCCTGCAAGAGAACTGAATAAGGATTCCAGATTTTGTTCTTCTGTTCCTGAATCAATGGGCTACAGAATACTGTTAAAAAGAAAGTGGAAGAGTTGCCAAACAGGAACATATTCAGCTCTGGTATAAGCAGGCATGACTTCACTGAACTTAAGAGGCAATATTCTCAAGACCGTTTAGCTTTGGGTTCCCTGATTTTAGGGCCAAAAGTACCAAACTCACAAAAGCACAATTTACAGAAGCCTGGGGGCAGCTCTAAGTTGTAGCAATTGCTACTGATCCCGAAGGGACCATTCCAATAACTGGGGAATCACTGGGGCATAGTGGCCCACTGGCTATCCTGCCTTCTCCTGGGTATTTCACCTATGACAGTGTCAGAGCTAGTGGGCTGGAGTAGACCTGCTTTGAAAGCTCTATGCCTTTTGAGGATTCCTCTTAAAGTATGAGAATCCCCAGGGCCTCTAATAAGGTGATTTTACATCTTTGGTGAGTCACTTTGCATTTCTGGAGAGGCCAAGATAGTTGTAATAGGGAAGAGTTTGGCCCAAAGGTTGATTTTATCCAAAGTTTCCAAAGTCACTTGATACAAAATGTTAAAATCTGTAATTTGAAAGATATACACTCTGATCATGCAACAGGATCCCAATGAAGTCCAATGGACTTTGTGCCAGCATAATTGTCCATCAGCATGGATCCTATTGTGTAATTGAGATCTTAGTAGATAATTCCCTTTAATCAAAATTTTACTGATAACTTATAACACATTGTGTGATTATCAAGATTGGAAGATGCTATTAAAAAAGCAATGCCTGAATGCTCAGCTAAGTAAGAATGGTGATTGCTACCTGGCAGACATTTAGAGTTCATTGCTAAAAGTACTTGAAGTGGATTTGTGAAGCCCATTCAGTCCCAACATGCCCTTTATAGATTTTTCTGAAATATGCCTTGACATAGTTTTGTTCCCTTTGTGCTTTCTACTTTATATTTACCTCACAGGAAACTTTATTCTATTCCATGTTCTTAGTTACGTATCTTATTGTTGATCACTGGTATATGTGGGTAAGCTGTTTAGTAGCAATCCAGGTTCAAACACAGTCAGATGTGAATGCCAGTCCTGGAAACCACAGTTCAAATAGGAACTTCAGCTCTCAGATCCCAAAACATTTGCCAGTCCTCATTTCAATTAGAATGAGTTATCTATGAGAACAGATTTAAGCATTGGTGACTTACTTAACTCCCAGACACATTCATGAGAAGTAGTTCATATGCCCAAAAGAAGCTACACATGACTGAGACACACATGATTGAGAACAGAGATGGAAACTAATATTTATCATCCTAATGAACACACTCCTACTGCAATCAAGATTCATTTTCAACAGTATCTGTGGGAGAAAGTGTTGGGGGAGTAAGAAAATAATTCTTTTTCCAATCTCCATCTCTCCTCCCCTTTCTTACAAATTGCAAAAGGTTGTATTGAATTTTTTGTACTGAAAATAAAACAGGCTTTAGGCAAAACAAGAGCCAGAGCTAAGGTCACAGATGGACTGAAAGAAAGACTTAGCTTCACTGGGACACCCCCTCTACAAATAGAAAAAACAATACTAAGCTTTTGTAAGTGTATTATTTTCATAGGGGACAGAGCAGGACATATTGCTTTTCATTCACTTTTAGACTTTCACTTGTTTTGTGAACTTTTATTGGCATTTTCTCAGCTTTGTAGGTTTTTGTCGGTCATTTGACCTGTGAATTATCTCAAATTCTAGAAGCTCTCCCTCCAAAACACACACACACACACAAGAAAGCTCTATCGGAATGAAGTCCTTGAAATGTAAGCAAGAAAAAGTGGTATGAATAATGTGCGACATGCATCAAAAGTCTTGCAAATAACTTCAGACTATGAAAATACCTTTCAACAGTTAGAAGGAATGGTACATACTATGGTATTTTAATCAGAAGTTGTATCAAGCTTGTAACAATATAGGGAATCTAACGTTTCTCTTGTGCTATGACTTCCAAGGGGAGAATGTCACCCAAGTGTCTCTGGATCTCTGGGCTGTAGTAGGCAGAGGTACCTGTGTATAGTCTACTAAGAATAAACTACAGTTGGATATATAAAGCCATTTATTTCAGTTCATATGATTTCAAACATTTACTAATTCAAGAGGCATTGAAACAAAGCTAAAATTAGTAGTGAATGTCACTACTGACATCTGTTTTCAGATAAAGAAGTTAGAAGTAATGAATACAGTTTTAATAATAAGTTAACTTCTGATTAAATTTAAAATATTACCCCGGGAAAGAAGTACATAGAGAAATTTTAACCTCAAAACTTCCCTAATCAAAGGCATTCAACATGTGATTTGTAGGATACAAAAGAGTGTGAACTGGCATTTATTTACCATTATTTAAGTACATAAGTTTTCATTAAAAAAAAAAAAGTATTTTTTAATACTAGTAACCACTTGAATCTTTATTTCCTCTATGGTAATTCAATTCATTAAACATAATTTTGAGTGTCTGGACATAATTAACTTTTATGAATATAATCAATATTAATGATATAAAGTGTCAGGATTGTGGAATTCATTTATGGTTTCGAAAATCTGAATATTCAGAAAACATGGGACTGAATAAAAAGATCATTACTCATAATTCAATTACAACTAACTTCAAAACACTCTTACATTCAGTACAAGAACTCAAAATGACAGACTGAGGAAGCAATTTGATTGGCTAATGAAGATTCTGAGCTGTGTAATAATTGAATTGGATGGAATCACTAGCTAAAACAATACAGCAGACATTTTATAAACACAACTGTTCATAACTTCATGTATCTAGTTTCCATGGATTGAGACATACATATGTGAAACCAATGATACATGCTGCTGTACCCATCAATACTGTATATGAAAACAGAGGTTAAACCAAAGATAGAAAACCTTGCCTAGAAGGGATATGAACAGTGGTACACAAAAGCTCAAAGGCAGATGGCACAGCATATTTTTTTTATGATGCAAGACTGCTCAGGATCATCTATGGATAATGAACCATGACAACTCTGAATTTGATGAAGCATAAGTCAATAGTGAAAGAAGGCAAAGGAATGCAAGAAATATTTGAACAGTCAGCAAATGCATACAGACTGTTTTTTGCTTATCCTTGCAATCTGAAATAGCAACACAGGAGCCATAAAAATATGCCTCCACTAATTTGACATATCCCTGAAGTCTGAAAAAGCCATTTTTAGAAAAAAATTAATTTTCTCTATCGAAAAGTATCTTGCACTAAAACATTTCACAAGCTATACAACATCCACAAGGATACCAAACATTTTTTGGTGTGTTTAAAATACCTTATATGATCGGCATCAATGCAGTTTTCTATTCACAGGGAAATCTTGAGTGACATATGTACCGGTCAGGTTGTAGATTCTTCACTGCTCAAGCTCCCTTTTCTTTTTCACTTTAAAAAGAGAAAGTGAGAGAGATTCCATTTAAACACTGTCTGGCACATCTCTACTTGCATTTGCTATTATCTCTTTGCCCACAACCAACTGCTGTTTAGAACACACATTAATTATTCTTGGTTTGTTCTATCCCCTTCAATTCTTGATTTTGAGAGGTTGAGAGGCAACAAAGGAGAATCAATCATAAGATCTACAAAAATGAACCTTGGATGAAGAAATTTTTTCCTTCTGTATGTTGTCACTCTTTATCATTGACACGTGGGGTTTTATTTATTTACTTTGTTAATGTGACCATATTTTTTGTTTTCTGCACTTTTTAAAACTGAGGCAAATGTGGTGAATTTGCCATTTTAGTGCTGTCACCCCAATGAGATACTTGTATGCCAGCTGATAAACACGTGAGAGAATGATTCCATAGTTTTAACTTCTTGATCATTCATTCATCTTGCTGCCTGTTTGAGATTAAAGGCCATAATACATAACCATAATTATGTGAATGTTTATCACTCTCACCACAACGCTTTGCTGATATGGACTTTAGAAAAGTCATGGAAACTTGTGGCAACTGAAGACAGGAAACCCAGGTATCCTTACTTTAGTCAGTATTGAGTAAACTCTTTACTGTAAAATGTGACGATAGAAGAATTCCCTCTGCAGAAACCACACTTTGTTTTGGGCCACAGCCACAGGTCTTACTCAGTTAATATAGCTAATGAATTCAGTTGATTACCGTGGGCGTTTTGGCTGGTAAAGATTATGGAGACTGATTTATAGTCTACTGAAATAAATCAAGAGACTCCAGTTGATTTTAATAGGCTTTGGATCAGTCTTTATAGAATTTGGCCCTCTAAGCAGACAGCTTTTCCAATCTGCTCTATAAACACAGTTCACCCAGTATGGAAAGTCTTCCTTTGGTCAGCTTTATCAACAACGAAAACAACGACAACAACATAATGTTATGTTGGAAGGAGTTAATGACTGAGAGCAAGCAGGTCTTTTGAGCGGTAGGCAATCATAGACCTCATTAAAGCTTATGGGCAGGTGAGCCACACTTCATTCATCCAAATGGAAGGAGCAGTTAAGCTCATTTATGGAATAGGATACATGAAAAACCAGAAGCCCCCACCCCTGGCACTTTGCCATGAGGGAAGACTGGAGCAAGAACTCAGGGAGAATTAGAGGGTTTTCCCTGGGACTGACTGTGAACACAAGGCCTGGGAGGTTGTTTGGTTGCAGCTGTGTTTTTCTGTGTGGGGTGTGGGTGACAAAGGCAGAAAAGAAGGCATGAGTGAGGGTGGAAAGGAGGCTTGGAAGTTATAAGCAAGAAAACTCCCTGCTGTTGCTTATTCCGGTTGGGGTCAGGAAAACAGGACTTTACTCATCATCAGTTTCTCCTCCTAATGAAACAACCAAGCAAGGCCTTGAATATTGGCTAACCCATTTGGACAAAGGTGCAGCAGTAACAAAGATAAGTTTAATTTTTTTCCACAGGCTTGGCTACTCCTAAATTTCCACCCACAGCTTACATCCTACCTCAGGTGGGGTAAATGAGTCACCTCCCCTAGTGATTTAGTAGAAACAGTTTCCCCCCAGATCAATATCTTCTGAAGATGGTGGGGTGTTTCATGCAAAATTTCTGTTACAGGTCCCTTGATACAAGTCCACATTAGGGTGTTGCAGCCAAAGAGCTAAATAGCCTTTCTGCATATTATTAACATTAGAGTTGTGACTATAGGCCCCTGTGTTAGTGCTGTACAAACGCATAATGAGAGATAGTCGCTGACCTGAAAATGTTACAAATCTAAATAGACAAGGCAGTCAAAGGACAGGAGAAATGATGTGTCCTACTCATTTTTCAGATGGAGAACTGAGGCACAGAAAAGTAAGTGACTTTTTCACATTATTCTGAAGTTCAGGCTTTTTCCATATTCTTAAGGTCTTGGAAACAATTATAGCAGATGACATTACATGCACTTTCTTAAAGATCATTAAAACCACAGTATTAAATTTAAAATTGCAGAGAAAAACAGGAGATTGTACTTAAGAGATATTGCTAAATACTTTCTAAATATTTTCAATAGCTTTAGATTATTTTCTTCAGCTCCTCGATTAGACACTTGAAAATATCCTCTTTTCTTCTGTGCCAGCAGGAATTTCAAAGGAACAGTTTAGTATTTTAAAAAAAAAAGGGATAAAATATATGCAAACATGGCTAATGAGACAAAATGCAGCAGGAAAACCAAGCAGATGTTTTTGGTATCCTACTACATTATGAAACACAGCAGCAATAGAAGATTTTAAATGCTTTGTTCTCATAATACTTCTCACTCTCAGTACTCAGTTATTTGCAGGATGCATATAGAACACCTGAATATAGTCCCTAAATTTCTATCCAATACTGCATCTAACAGCCCTTTGATGGGCTATGTAGCAAACTGGAAGTTGTTGCCCGATACCAATGGTTCTTTATGGAAAAAGTTCTGACAAACATTTGTATAAATACAAATCACATTCAGAAATATTTTCCATTTGTATTTTGTATCCAAATTTTCAGATTCATTCATACCTGTTCAAGCTAGTGGCTTAGGCAGCCCATTTAAAAAAAAAAAATGAACTAGCCTTTCTGCATTGAGGTCCTGGTCCTCAGACAGTTTCCCAACACAATTAGTGTCTTTTTTCAAGGGCAGGGGGAGAAAGAGAGAGAAATCATCATGAATGGGCAGGAAAAGGCTCTCTTATCTAGAAAGCTCTGATCATCTAGTACAGGATGGTACTAGCAGCACTGGAAGATGTAGGTAAAATCAAACATTACATTTAAACTTTGTCTAGAAAAAAAATCAGTCCAAAAAAACCCCCCAAAACAACAACGTTGACTGGCGATTTCCATAGTTTGAAACAAAATGTTTGTTACCAGTTGATTACAGTAGACTTCATTATCCAGACCCAAGAAGTGCAGTTCAGTGCTTACTCCCTTTTAGAAGGGCACAGAGGTCAGTGCATTCCTTTGTTTTGCTTGCATATGAAGACTGCAGTGTTTATTTAAATCTGAAGATGTTTGAGAATTTTTTTAAGACCATTATGGTTTCAGTTGCATTGTAAAGACTAGAATAAATTGATGTGTGTTAGCCTGAGTAACTTCCCAACATCTCTAACACAGTCAATGTAGCTTGAGAGAGATATTTTACAAAAGTTGAATTTTTTCTGCAAGAGGAAAATATTCTCTGTAGACTTCCAAAAAAGAAGTCTGGTGAACCACATGATGAGCTCATGCTAACATGATGTAATGCTAGCCAAACGAACATGTCTGAATGCTTACAAAAATATGTTTATGTTACTGTAGTGTCCGGAGGAAAATTTGGTGCAACAGATTATTTGATATCTGCCAACTGGTGCCGAGATACTTAATGAGACATTCCTAGTTTGTTCAACACCTGAACTGGCTGAAAAAACAAGAATTCTATTTAGCCAAAAAAAATTCCACAAAAAGTTTCAGTTTTGATGAATCTACATTTTCCAACAAAAAATGTTTCATTGGGGGGAAAAAAAATCCAGACTGGTTTCATTCAACAGTTAGTGGCTGAACTTGTGTATCCTATATATTTCCTCCGCAGACACAAAAAAACGAACTCCTACGGGCCAAAGCCGGGGGGCTGGAACAACTTTTATCGTGGGAGTGCTAAGAGCCATTGAACCAAATTGTAAACCCTGTATATAATGGAAACCAATTCAAGCCACAGGGTGCATAGGCAACACCTATGCCCACAATGGCAACAACTCCATCAAATGAGCCAGCAAAGTTAGTTTATTTCTATGATGCCATAAGGGCATGGTGCCTTACAAACAATACAGAGCCCATAAACTGCAACCTTCTTGGAGCAGGTAAGACCCAAAAAAGCTAACAAAGGATGGGGATAAATACTGGGATGATAAGAGACTGGGAAGACAAGGGCTACAGTAATGATTATGCAGCTACTGAAGTTAGTAAATGAATGCATCTTGAGGGTTACAAAGCTTTGAGGGTTTTATGTGGCTTTTTATTTCTAAAATATACACACAAGGGAAAAATTGGGTCTCACCAAAGACTGGAGCAAAGCAAGGAGCTTATGATTCGACCCAATATTTATACCTCCTTTAAACTTTTCAGTCCTTTCTCAAATCAGATTTTAATCCTATACAATGTGTTGCATTGTTCCTTTTTTTAGTTCAAGATGTTAGAGCCATAAAAATGCCGAATAATTTCAGGAAGCATCATTAATCTACAAGTAAAATTCAAATACTATTATAATTCTAAAAGATACTAAGTTATTTCAACTTTTATCTGATTGCCTACTGTACTTCTATCTCCTGCATCATAATAGCATTTATTTTAGTCTGAGGCAGGTTAAAACTTATCTCTGTTCAGCAATGGGGACAAGAATCTCTAAGAAGTCTGGCATCTGTTCCTATACGGTAAGATCGTTCAGTCAGCCTTGACCTAAATGCACTAGGTGACACATGCAGCTATTTCGATGATCACATTATGTTGTGTTATGATTCAGTTACACTACAATTTTTAAGCTACTCCACACTAAATTGGGGAAAATATAAAAAGTTTATTACATGATTCTCCTGTCTAAATGAAAATCACAATACATATAAATAATAAGGGCTTGGATAGTATATAACAGATCCTCCTTGCCCTTCTATTTGATGCTTTGGACAACTGCCCAGGTTTCAGCAAAATCCGGCTTATGTCACTGTACGCTTTTTTCAGAGCTTTCGTACACAGCTTGTACAATAATAGCTAGGATATTAACGAACATTTAGATGCTACAAAACTTGATATACACTCTATAGCCAAAAGCTGTCTCCACATTTTTTTATTTTTTTTTTTGCAATTAATTCTATTAACAATGTTAATGGGATGTTGTGTAGCGGTAATAGAGACCATCTTCACAATGGACCCCACAAATAATGCAGTGGGGAAACATTTGTCAGTATTGTCATTTCTGCCCTA